ACCCAGTCCCTCTTCACCTCCTCCGGCCAGCAGCCGGTGGTAGGGTTCCACCAACCTAGGCTGATTTTTGCTTTCTTCCATTGCCACTCTCCATTGAGCACATGCTCTGCTTCTATCCTTGATGGGAATTCGAAGAGGTATTGAGAGTCATTCATCTCATGTACATTTATGCTGATGGAAGACTTCCAAGTGTTACATGCCCATTTTCTAATGTCGTTCAAAGGTGGAGTTTCCTCTGGTGATATCAGAACTTTGCCTACTAAGCATCTACTCAAGACATCTTTATCCGTTATCTCTGAACCTCGGTGTTGTGATTTTGGACCTACTGATTTTGATAGGAGAGGATTTTGTCCCTTCTGATGACCATCTGTTGGTTCTGATTGCTTCTTTAAAAGATAACTCCAGACGGGGGAAGTTACAATCTGGACCTTCTTGTCCTTCTCAGGTACATTTATGAGTCTTAGGATCTTCTGGGCTATGTCACCCCACCCAGCATTTACTGTGATTTCCGGTGTAATAATAATTGAACTGTTATCCCCTTGTACCGCAATAAAACTGATGTACCTACCATATTCATTATATTTAAGGCTGCAATAATATTCTGTGTAGTGATCTTTGATAGACCATCTCCTTATTGCCCTGTTGTGTTCCTTAGAGGCCACCTTAAATACATCTGTCACCCATTTCATCACTTTAATGCTAACAGTTGTTGTCCTCATTAATTTCCTGCTGCGTTCAACCATTCGAACCATACTTCTGATCTAGTTCTATTTTTTGTGATATCAAAAGATTTGAATCCCACGTAATATATCATGTTGCTGTCCATGTCTTAAGGGGAAAAATATGAGTGAAGAAGGGAATGTAGAAAGGAGTTCCGGTGGATATTGCACCGGAAAAAGCTACTCTACAGACCTAGGAAGTATCATTCGCTCATCCTAACTTTCATCTTTTCCTTCTTGTTTACTTTTCATTGTTAGATTACTGAAGAAAGAAATAAGGGGCAAGTTAGAAATACAAATTATAATTGAATAACCTGCAATATTTCGTTAAATTTACAACCAATTAATTGTAAAGCGTAATAATATACTAATAGACACTCGAAGTTGGCAATAACGGAGAGTTAGACCTTGAAATTAAGGTAGTTAACATAGAGATACCCCTAGTAAACATAAATTTTTTACTCGAATGTGTAAAACCCTTTTGTTGTCTTTTTGCCTTTCAAAACTAATGGACCCTACCTTTCATTCTCCTCCATCTTCTTCCCCCTTCCACCGGCCACCACTGCTTTGGTATTTTATCGATATAAAGCATTTAAACAGAGTAACAGACCAATCAAGAGGCGAACCAGGGTTTGAAGGGTGGGGAGCACCAACCCGTGATATGGACCAAGTAGATGGGTTCATCATTGCTTAGATAACTATTAATTTTGATGACATAAATTTTTACAATATAATAACTCAGTGAGCAAAAAATAATTAGTTTCATTATCACAAAAAAGAAAAGATCATCAAATTACAATTGTACTCGAGGAGTTTTCATACTTTGAATCGATCTATAATAACGTCATTGCTTACAGTTGCAAATACCTTACGCTCTATATTGCAAACTAAATAACCAATCAAAAATTCTTCACTTATACTTTTACGTAGATCATTTTTTACGAGCTTCATTGAGGAGAATACTCTTTCGACGCTTGTAGTGGCAACAGGTAGAATCAAAGTCAGCTTCACAAGTAAATAAACATGACACCACGTTTGATCCAGTTTTGTCTTTGCCATCACTATAGCAAGATCCAGTCAAAAATAAACGGTCTTAGTTGAGGCCTCAAATCACATCAAACAACGCTAAAAACACGAATCACACTCCCAATTCAAGCCTAATGAAACTAAGAAATTCTAACTTCCACATTCGATGTTGAAACCTATCAAATCAATTCCGATTGACCTCAAATTTTGCACACAAGTCATAATTGATATTACGAACCTACTCCCACTTCCGAAATCGGTATCCAACCCCGATATCAAAAAGTCCACTCTCAGCCAAACTTTCCAAAAACCTTCAAATTTTCAACTTTCGCCAAATGACCCCGAAATGACCTGCGGACCTCCAAATCCACTTCCGGACGCGCTCCCAATACCAAAATCACCATACGAAGCTATTCTCAGACTCGGAATCCCAAACGGACATCGATAACATTGAAATGCACTTTAACCCATATTTATAAAATTCTTTCAAAATGGCAACTTTCCACAATAGACGCTGAAACGCTCCGGGGTCATCTAAAACCCGATCCGAACATACGCCCAAGTCCAAAATCATCATACGAACCTGTTGGAACCTTGAAATCTCGATTCCGAGGTCATTTACTCAAAAATCAAACCTTAGTAAATTCTTCCAACTTAAAGCTTCCGAAATGAGAGTTTTCTTTCCAAACCAACTCCGAAATTCCTGAAATTCAATTTCGACCATGCGTACAAGTCATAATACCTGAAGTGAAGCTACTCATGGCCTCAAACCGCCCAACGATGCGCTAGAGCTCATAACGGCCGGTCGGGTCGTTACAAAATAAATATATATTTGGTCATTGCATATATCACTCATAATCAAAATACAATCTCATAATACAATCTGATCACAAATTTATCCATTTTGATGTTAAAGAATAGAGCTTTAGGTAAGTTTTTTTAACTGACTTTTCCGGAACAAAATTATATAGTTGAAATAAAAACCTATTGTATCTAAAGAAAAGATAACACGAAATACACAGTTGATACTCCATTATTTTGGCTAATTTTTTTTATTTAGTTAAGATAATGGATTTCCATCCAATTTCTTTACAAATGTAGTGTGAAAAAGAAATTCACAGTTGGAATAAATAGAAATTATATCCATATAAGATATTTTAAAAAAAATTAAAATTTGGGTAAAATATGCATTGTATACTAAGATGAAATAATAACAAATATACAATTATAACAAATAAATCATTGCATATATATTAACAATTGAAAAATATCCCACCGTGAAGCTAATTTATCGGTTTTTATTTTTTTATTTTTTTATTTTTTTATTTTTATTTACATTCATCGCGCCTGAAATAAGATATAAAAAATCAAATAGCTAAGGTCAGTGGTGTCAAGTTTAGAGTGCCACAAGATTAGAATGGTTCTAAGGTATTCTGTCTTTTTTATTTTCAGCCCCTTCATTGCTTACTCGCGTCAAATCTAATGCCGAAGCTGGAATTTGAAAAGAAAAAAAAACAAGGGAACCACAGTGTTAGGTGACAACGATTCCGATCCCTTTTGGACCCTAAATCATGGCTTCCAGCTTCAGAAGTAGTAGTAGTAATTTGAGAAATCCTCCTTCTTCGAAGAAACAGAACGCCCTAGACCGTATCTGTCACTTCCTGACTCACTCCTCATTCATATTCTCTCTCTTCTTCCAACAAAGGATGCATTCAGAACATGTATTCTCTCTAAAAGGTGTCAGTATCTCCGGACTTCTGTTTATAACTTCAATTTTACTTGCTATAGTTTCAGCGAAGTAGAAAGCTTCGGATCCTTTGTTGACTATGTATTAGCTCATTCTGTTTCTTTAATTTTTGTTGTTGTTGTTGTTGATAAGAATAACTCACTTGCAGTTGCGGAGTACATTGATGAACATCTATGTACTACAAGAAGACTGAGACTTTTGGCTGCGACCCTCCAAACTATATGGAACAACAATCTGATATTAATGAAAGGAATGAGAGCCATCTTCTTTGACTGGCTGATTGAGGTACACTACAAGTTTAAACTGATGGAGGAGACCTTGTATTTGACTGTGGGTCTCATAGATAGGTTCCTGGCAGTTCAGTTAGTGATTAAGGAAAAACTTCAGCTTGTTGGAATAACAACTATGCTTCTTGTCTGCAAGTATGAAGAGGTCTCTATTCCTGTGATGGAGGATTTAATTTTGATCTCTGACAACAATCAATTACACCGGAAAAGAAGTGTTTGAGATGGAAAAGATGATGATTAATACCTTACAATTCCACCTAAGTGTGCCTACAGCATATGTGCTTATGAGCCGACTTAATACCGGTCAGTCTAATAAGAAGGTGGAGCTCATGCCTTTCTTCTTGATAGAACTATGTCTGGTTGAGTATGAAATGCACCATCAGAGCTAGCAGCTGCATCATTCTTTAGTGTGTAATGTACTCTTGGTGTGTCTAAGGAGTGGAGTACAACCTATAGCAGGCGCGACGCTAAAGAAGAGATTTTCCTGTCAGTACAGTTCCAAAAATTATCAACGTCCAAGACTATGAAAGTGCAGAGGTTCAGAGGAAAAAAGCACATAAAAGAAAAACCACCAAGGGATCCAATTCACATCAACGATGTATAATACTGAATCTCATATTTCCTTTCACTGAAAGAAGCATGCTTCTTGAATGGTTAAGCGCAAAATAAAGGGTGAAATGGCCATGCTTGCACGGCTGCATTCCGCTGAATGCAAATGAGAAGGATGGAAAAACAGGAAGCTACAACCTTAGAGAAGTAGAAATCATTTTTAGTCACTACATCATTCAACCTCTATTGCGCTAGTTACACCTCCTTTCAGAATCAGGTGCAGCCTCTTCACCTAGGCTTTTCTTTTTCCAAAATAAAGTCTATCTCACTTATTAGCTTCTTAGCTAACAATAAGAGATTACGTCACAGAAATTATCATTTTTTTTAGATTGAACACAAATGATCAAATTTAACTAAACAATGAAGAGAAGATGGCAGAGCCTTGGAAAACACTCAGCTTATGCACAAGCACTATGGAAACAAAAAAATGATTTAAACCACCCTTACAGCTTGGCTACCCACACAAACTAAAACGTGGAAAAACTTCCAACCAGAACAACATGCAGGCATTCAAGACAACCAGGTGATCGGCATGAATATGATAATCCATGTATTAGCACCACTAAACATTTTAGAGAGGAAAGACATAAGAAAAATAATAAAGTGCAGTACCTCGTTTAATCGCGGTACAACACGCATGACCTCCGGACCTTTACTATCAATTCGAATGTTAGAACCAACGGCATCAGTCACATCAATGCTTTCTATGCCCTTTAGCTCCCAATTTCTGGCTTTAAAGGCAAAAGGTTTTGAGGTAAGGGCTCCAACTGGACAAATATCAATCACATTCCCTGAAAGTTCACTTGTCATAAGTTTTTCAACATAAGTTCCAATTTCTTCTCCACTACCACGACCCAACATTCCAAGGTCCTCTGTTCCAGCTACTTCTGTAGCAAATCTGACGCACCTGTTACACCAACAGCAAAAAATTAGAGGATACTGTGCAAGAGATATAAAATGCACAAGCAAGTCTTTACTAATCCTCATGTATCTAAAGCTCAAACCTAATAAATATTTGTTGCACTCAATCTCTCACAACTGCCCCAAAGTTTTCTTATAGCTATAGCACCAAAGAGGTCAAATTTAGCAGTTATCAATGGGAAGGAATAACTTAAAAGGGCATAACCACATTGGAGAAATGAAGAAACCAGTATAAATCATTCTGTTGTAGGACGGTATATATAGCAAAATATGAATGTAACATTCTACGAATTACGCAGATTATGAGAAAAAATGAAAAAGACAGACTGGCGTTTTCTGCTAGGATACTGGCACTATGCAAAAGTTCCTGTAGTTTTTTGAGAAAGACTGACACTAAGCAGAAGTTCCTATAACACATAAATGTTCACTAGAATTACCATATCCATCTTATTAGGCTACCTCCTTCATTTGTTTTTATTTTTTGGGTAAGATATTAGACTGACTCTTCTTCAAACCTTTCTTAATAGAAATCACATATATAAGGGAAAACCTGCAAGTTTTTTCATGAGATTTGGGAACCATAAATAAAATACAATATTGACGGTTACTTGTGTTACATCAACTCAAGATATGCGTACGATTCAGGATGCGGGTGAATGTAACTATCCAATATACATCTGTACCTTTTTGCTATTTTAATCTATTTTAAAACCTGCACAAAGTACCTAACTCAAGTCACACCCGCTTGACCCAGGTACATCATGGCACATGAAGGATCCATGTAGCATAGACTTGGCATCTCACAAATTTCAGAATAGTTTTTTTTTTTGGGGGGAAAGGGAAAAAGTGGACACTTTTCATAGTCCGACCACAGTGCCAGTCAAGAACACACTTACAACAATAGTTATCAAGTTTTGGTCCCATACGTCAAAGTTGATTTGAAACTTCACATCACAAAATAAATCGAACCGCTCACATTTTACGTTTGACAAATAACACTAGTAAAGGTAAGAATCAAACACAGACCTTGTACACTGGATGCACCGGGTCATCACAGTCTTCACCAATGGGCCCAAATTCTTGTCAACCACAGACCTCTTCATTTCAGTGAAACGCCCACGGTCTGAGCCAAAGGCCATAGACTGATCTTGGAGATCACATTCTCCTCCCTGATCACAAATTGGACAATCCAGTGGATGATTCATAAGCAAAAACTCCATGACTCCTTCACGAGCCTTTTTGGCAATAGGTGTATCTGTCTTGATCTTCATTCCTGTAAGAGTAATCTCCAGATAAATTTGCAATCCAAGGAACAGATGGAAAAGCAAACAATAATATGCCAATAATAGCTCAACACTAACTATGAATAGATCAGCCTTCGTGAGAATCATCAAATGGCTAGCGAACAACAACAACAGCAACAGGTCAAGATGTTACTAAGCTAAAGAAAACCATACCTATAGAAAAAAAATCAAAAAGTACCAGCTTTCTAAAATTCTTCAAAGGGGAAAATTGAAGAAAATAAAGGGCCATAGAAACTGTCTTGACCAAAACTCAATTAATATTTTTGGTACTGATCCAATGCAGGTAATATTACCACTCAAAACCCTCAGGGGTTGGCCTGGTGGCAATTGACTTGAGCCTTGGGGTTTGCTCCCTTTCAAGGTCTTAAGTTCGAAACCCACTAGGTGCAAACAATTTCTGAGGGTCATCGGACTGGGTAAAACCTGAATTAACCGTGGTGCACTTGCGGGAAACTCCTTGCCGAGGGCCTGTGCACCCCTGGGATTAGTCGGGGCTCTTAGAGATTCGAACACCCGGTGCAAATCAAAAAAAAAAAAAAATATTACCACTCAAGAGCATACAGGCTCAAAAGAACATATCACTAACCCATAATATATTGTTAGCTACAATTGTAAGCTAAAAAACTCTATTTTTGTCGTTTCTTTTTCCTGGGATCAAAAGACGTTCTTTTTCAGTTGACCCCTGGTACAACTATATAATTGCACATATGGTTACCTGCACTTCATGAGTTTGAGGCATATAAACAGCCTCTTTTGGAGAAATACAATGAGAAGATTGCATATGTACTTAATTGAGAGCACTTCTTTTAATATTTTTTTCTTTCTAAAAAAAGACTAATCCAATATTACCACTCAAGGAAACACACCCTCAACACCCAAAGATGTGACCTAGTGGTCAATAAAGTAGGCAAGAAACATGAGGTCTCAGATTCAGTTCCAAGTGGAGACAAAAAACACAAGGTGATTTCTTCCCATTCTATCCACCATTCCACCCATTCTATCCATTACTTGGTACTTGTTGTTGGTGGGAGGCAACAAGTATTTGGTGGAATTAGTTGAGGTACACACAAGCTGGCCCGGACACCATGGTTATCAGAAAAAAAACTCAAATGAACATATGATCACCATTATCAACCCATATTGTCTGCTTCGGTTAAGCACAAGATATTAAGCAGGAAATCTCTCTATTCATTTATTTCCTTATTTTCTCACATGTCCAAATAGAGCCAAATAGATATCGTGATAGCTGACCCAACAAATTAATGTATTATGTAAAAAAGACGTTTTTGAGAGCTTAAACAAGCATTTAAAGCATCAAATTGAGCATAGAAATCCAAAGGGATTTAAGTTATATACACTCACATTGTAATGATGAACTATAACATGTGATAGCAGATTAGTTATTATTTTTACAATTTTACCAGATTGCCAATTACCCCCTTTATCTGATGCACTTTCTTTTTAATTTGTTTCTCTCATTTATAATCACACAAATATCTATGGCTTGTTTAAGGATTGCTTACTTTCTTACTTAAGGTGTGTTCAGCCAAACATCATCACATAAAATGGGATAGAGGAAGTATTAAAAAGACGTTTTTAGAGCTTCAACAAGCATCAAATGGAGCATAAAAATCCAAATACAAATCGAGATCAATAAACTAATCAGTATTACCTGGAAGTGCAGGCATGGCACAAGAAGCAACAAGCAACAGGCTTAGGACCGGGAAAGTTGTCCAACAATTACACGACTCAAAATTTTTAAATAAAATATTAAAATGGAAAGCGTTTTACATCCAAAGGAACGCAGAAGATACACAATCTTTGGTCCAAAAAAATTACAAAGAGAGAGATCCACATGCCTTCCAAAGAGTTCCTCAAATTGATCTATAGACACCATTAATGCAGATGGCTCAGCCAACTTATTTACTGTCTTGAACCTAGCAACTGGAGCAACTATGTTGGCACGCCCAGGGTCTAGCCATGCATAAGAAGAGTTAGACAAGTAAATTAAAAGCAGATCAGCCATCTCGTAGACCAAGAAAAATGCAACTAAATGCATACTTCGTACTTGAACAACCGATCTCCCCTGAAAGGTTTAGCAGCCGTACACACGGATACCCGTCAATGGCCATGTACATTGACTTCTCAAGATCAGGAACTGACTGGAAAGAGTTCACTTGGTCTGACGCTGTTCAAATTAATAAAATGCAAATATGTATTATACAAAAGTATCACTAAGAAGCTAAAGAACGAAATTAAGACATGCATTCAAAGTGAAGAACATTGCACAGGAAAAGGCTTTCTGAAGTGAAGGGTAAAAATGACATAAAGTGCAGCTTGCTCGTTTCTTCCTTAATTAGCAAATGCAAACTCAAATATCCAACCAAAGCTGTGCTCCTTAGAATGATTAAAACTCCCAATATAATAATTTTTTCCGCATTGTTATGGATTTCCTCTGGAAAAAAAAATACCGAGATTCTTAAAACTCTTCTCATAATCTAGCTGCATTAACTTCCTTATTGTTAACTTAGTTACGCTCCAGTTTAACATAGGCTTCCAATTACCTGAGCAGATGATCTACGCAGTTATAGAAAATCTCAAGTACAAGAAATATCTCATGTTCTATGTCAGGAAAGAAATAAGAAAACAAAACAATTGTCCACCAGCTAAGGCAAAAATACTAAGTTATTTCTTCCCACTTGCCTAAGCCTTGGTGGGCAGAGGTATATGGTACTTGTGCTGGTAACAAACTAACAAGTACTCGACGAAATAGTTGAGGTGTGGGTAAATTTGCTCGGATACCAACAACAACAACTAAGTCTCAATCCCAATTCCCAAACAAGTTGGGGTTGGATATATGAATTCTCAGTGACCATGTTTCTCCATTTAAGCGGTTAGAGAGAACACAATTTTATTTACTTAATTATGTATTCGACACAAGGTAGGGGTAAGGTCTGCGTACACACTACCCTCACGGTGTGGGATATTACTGGGTATGTTGTTGTTGTTGTAATTATGTATTCAACGCGCCTTCCTCACATGTAGTCCTGATTCTCTTTGGCCAGGCATGAGGAAATTATTTTTGACCGGCCTGGACACCATCATCATAAAAACAAAAAACAAATGATTGTCCAAAAGCCATGCTCTTTGAATCCAATCTTTTAACATCTAAGCTCATACTAAGTTAACTTTCCACTATAGTTAAAATCCACATCTGCACTTCATTTAACATATGATCAATTTCCTTTTCTTTCTTAGCAATTTGATAACTCCATTAATAACAAAATTGATTAAATATCTATCAAATAGTAAAATTAACACCTCATTGTTGTCAAATAACATCTTAATTTCGGCATTGACCGAAAAACTAAGCTTGCACAAAAAACAAAAAAAACAAAGAGTGATCTGAGAAAGAGAGGCAATCTAAGCTACGTTAAAATCTATATCTGCACTTCATTTAAAATCAAAAAAAAAAATCAGCTTAGTGATTTTGTTAATTTGATTAATAACAAAAATTGATTAACATATCTATCAAAACAGTAACATTAACACCTCATTGTTAACTCAAGTTGCCGCGAAAAATAAAGAGAAAAAAAACTGAGTGACCTGAGATAGAGAGGAAAAACTGAGCAATGAAGCAGAGAAGAAAAACGAAGAGCTTTGTATCGTCCATGGCAGAAGTGAATTTGTTATAGTGAAGCTTCTAGAACACTAAACCCTAGACCATATGGACACGGTTTTTGTTCGGTTCAGAACTTGTGTTTTCTCTCCCTCCGGTTCACTGGTTATAATTTAGATGTTGACTAATCGGAGAGTTGAAATGTTCCGGTGATCGGAGATCGGAGATCGTCGACGGCGACCAGGAGCAGGAGTTCTACTGCTACTGAATTTTGAAATTTCCATATATGGACGATAAGGGAAAAATAGTACAAAAAAAGGTTTGAGAAAATGACAAAATGTAGTCCCTTAAGTTTTAGGTATGTTTAAAATAGTCTCTTGAAGTTTCTCCTGAGATATTTTGGTCCTTTAAGTAACAAACTCTAATATTAACAGGAACAATTAGAAAATTTTAACTAGAAATCAACAATTAACTCCTTAACATCCAAGAAATTGTAACATCATAAACTGCACCAGACATCAACAATAGCAAAAGAAAAGAAAAAAAAAAAAATATATATATATATATATATATGAATTCACGTTAAATATTTTCTTTTTGAGCAAAAACTCTTCATCCCTCAGTTGATTTGTTTGTGCAAATCTTTTTTCGAAACCTCATAAAAAGTTTCTTCAAAATATGTTTATTTAAGATATTTTCACAATTTATTTTTTGAAGAATTAATTTGACTGCAATTTTCAAATGATTTTACTCTTTTTCAAAAATATTACTATTCAATTGGCTCATTGTGTGATTTTATATGATAATATTTTATTGTAAATAAATTTTAAAACATAATATTTAAAGATAGTACTGTGAGCACCTAATTTTTGCCCCGCATGGAAATTACTCCTAGAAAAAAGACCAAAAATAATTTCAATGAATTTTAGGAGTTTTTCTTTATTTAGTTGTATTTCATTCATGTTTAATATTTTAAAAGAATAAGAAAAATCATAAAAAAATTATCACATTTTTCATTTCATGTCATCTTAGGTTTAATTTGCATTTTTAAAAATTAATTACTCTTCAATTGTTAGATTAATACATGAAAATCACAAAAAATGTACATTAGCTTTAATCAATTAGTTTAATAGGTCATTTCTGCAAAAATCAATTTAAAATCGGTGACCTTCCTATTTTTGGAAAAAAAACCCTAAGACCTAGAAATCAGATCCCTACCAAAAAAAAAAGAAGACCTAAGACCATCTCCAACCCTAACATCAAATTTCACACCAAAATGGTGTAACACCAAATTTACTTCGACCATTACACCATTTTTTACACCAAAAAAGAATATTTCTTCTCTCTCTTCTATATTATATTATTATCTTCTATTTAAATTTCATTTTTTATTTCCTTCAAACTAATTCTATCTTTTTTCTTTTTTCAATATTCATCATATATAATTCACATTCACCACTTATATAATCATTTATTACAAAATTATTTTAAAGGATAAATCTACTAAAAGTGAAATCATTGATAAAGGATAATTAAATAAATATTACATCATAGTCAAATTTAATTTAAGTACCTCATAAATATTCAATTTTCGCCTCTATTCTCCCATAAATGCTCGATTAATGCATTACGAAGTGCGAAATGCGCATCTTTATCCTTAATTTTTTTGTGTCGAGCTAAAAATTGTTCAAATCGGTGATCTTCATCTACTGCCATTTCTACCGTAGGAGCTGGACATCCACGTGCATCATCAATTGGTGCATTAAGATCACGCTCGTCCTCAATTATCATGTTGTGCAGTATAATGTATTTTTATTTTGATGTATTGTTAATTTTCTATTTTAAATTTTAATTTTCACTTTTCAATTTTAGCAACATTAGATATCTTACATTTATATTTTTTATTTTTTAATAATGGTTATATTTCTTTTTATACAATTATAATAATAATAAAATTAACTTGTAATTTATATATATATATATATATATATATATATATATATATATANTATATATCAAAAAATGGGATATAAAATTGAAATTATAAAGATCTTAATATAAAATTTAATTATATACATAATATATGATAAATTAAAAGTTCAAAAAAATAAAAAGATGAATAAAATAATAATAAACCAAATTTGGTGTTGATGAATAGTGTTGGTTCATGCACTATAATGGTACAAGATTTGGTGTTCCATCGGAGAAAAAACAACAAATTTTACACCAAATCTAGCTGTTACCCTCCATCTCCAATTTCCGACCTCCCCATTCTAACCAGACTCTCATTCAGAAAAGACGGAAGAAGGCGATCTGAAAATACAGTCCCATTTTCATGCCTCTCATACTCTACTTATCCTCACTTAGCCAAAGAATCTGAAAGTTTTCTCAGAAGAAACATAGAAGTGTTCAAAAACTCGAAAAAATTTCATTAAGATTGGAAAATACTAAGAAACTTCAACAAAAAAAAAGGAAAGGAAATAGGAGTGCAAGAGATATTCTACAAGCATTCAGTTTCTCCCCTTGGCTTAGCGTTTCTGGGTCTGTTTAAGCATTGTTGGTGGAATTGCTGTGGAGTGCTGCTTGATAAGGTACTTTTCCTTAATTTGGATTATGTAATTTGATTTGGGTTCAACTATATCTTCTAAAAATAATTACATGGAGCTACAGGTTCTTCTCCGTTGAGTTAGTGTTAGTCATCACTGATTTATATGGCCATGTTATCTTACTTCCTGTAGAATAGATAAATTTCATCTACCTGCACCCTTCTCAACCTGCCGAACAGTTACATTTCTTCATAAACTCGAAATGCTAACACAACAAAGTTTATGTTAAGAGGCGATGATGGTAATTTAATTAGTCTAGCTGACCCTGCTTGCTTTAGATTTAATTGTTGTTGTAGATTTGGAATTGTTGTTTTGTTGCTTCTGTAATATTAACCTACCTGTACACGTCAAAAGCTATTGTGTTGGTTGTTTCCTTTTTAACACCAAGGGAAAATAAATTTACTTTATTCAAGTCTTGGATTTGCATTATTTGTTCACTCATATCAAGTTTAACGTGACTTTTTTTTTAGTTGAACTAGAGTTGAGTAATTGGTACCAGCTAGCCATATAATGAAGGTTTGCCACCATTATATTCCTAGTATACTCTAAGCGCGTATTACTAAATAAATTATCGCGATTATTGTAAGATTGGAGAAGAGAATCGAGCTCCAGACCTCCTTCAATGGAGGTTTCTGGAGCTTCTAGAAGAGACTCGAGGAGAGAGAGAGAGATGCTGAAAGATATAATAAAATGTAAAATGAATCTCAACCAACTGTACATTGTATTGTTCAATATATATATATACACGTGATGCTAACTATTGCTGATTCTGCATACAATTGTACAAAGATAAAATAAATAGTTAGTATCTCAATACCCCCCTCAAGTTGGATGTGAGGAAATCACGCCCAACTTTCCAGGAACAGAGCAGTGTTTGATCCCAGTGAGAGCTTTGGTAAGCACATCTGCCAGTTGTTGTCCAGTGCCAATGTGGTGCAGAGAGAGGAGTCCTTCCTGGAGTTTAGTGCGCACAAAGTGACAGTCTACTTCAATGTGCTTAGTCCGTTCATGAAACACAGGGTTCCTAGCAATATGTAGTGCAGATAGGCTGTCACAATGCACAGGTACTGGTAAACAGATAGGCACAGTAAGTTATTCAAGTAGTCTTGATAGCCAAACAAGTTCCCCAACCACCTTTCTAAGAGCTCTGTATTCTGCCTTTGCTGAAGAGAGGGATATGGTCTCTTGTTTCTTGGATTTCCAACTGATGGGGCTGCCTCCTAAGAACACAACATACCCAGATACTGATCTTCTAGAATCTGGGCAAGCTGCCCAGTCAGAATCACAGTGGGCAACTAGTGAAAGATCATCTGAACTACTGAAGTATAGTCCTAGGGTAGGATCCTTCTTTAAGTATCTCAGCATGTGGTAGGCTGCCTGTAAGTGAGGCTCTCTAGGATCTTGCATGAACTGGCTGAGATGTTGGACCCCATATGCTATGTCTAATCTAGTGTTTGTGAGGAAGTTTAGCTTTCCAACTAGTTTTCTATAAAAGGTAGGATCAGACAATGAAGCCCCTTCTTTTGCTTTCAACTTTATTGTTGGATCCAAGGGAGATGTCAATGCTGGGGAGTGAAGACATTCATATTCCCTCAGTAGGTCCAAAACAAATTTTCTCTATGGAATAATCATACCATATGGTTTATACAAAACCTCTAATCCCAGGAAATAGTGCAGCTGACCTAAATCTTTAATTCTGAACTTGTCATGAAGGAAAGCCTTGAGCTGATTGATTTCTTTTGAGTCAGTCCCTGTAAGCAGCACATCATCTACATACACTGCTACAAAAACAATAGAAGAACCCTGCTTTCCGTGGAACAAAGAGTAATCATACATAGAGTGTGTATCCTCCCTTGAATACAAGACTTTAGTCAATTTATCATACCACTGCCTGCTTGCCTGTTTTGGTCCATAAAGGGACTTGTTCAGCTTGCAGACTAAGTCTGGAGACTGCACCTCAGGGCCTGGAGGAGCTTGCATGTACACCTCCTCATGCAGATCTCCGTGGAGAAATGCATTATTCACATCCAGTTGAGAAATTTGCCATTTCTTCTTTGCTGTTATGGCAATGAGTGACCTGACAATAGTCATCTTGACCACAGGAGAGAAGGTCTCTGTGTAGTCTACCCCAGCTTGTTGGGTGTACCCTTTACCACTAACCTTACCTTGTATCTCTCTACACTGCCATCTGCCCTATGCTTGACTTTATATACCCATCTACATCCAATAGCTTGTTTTCCCTTGGGTAAGGGGACTAAGTCCCATGTGTTATTAGCATACAAGGCTTCAAATTCCTGTGTCATGGCACTCTGCCAAGCAGGGTACATAGCTGCCTCTTCATATGAAGTTGGTTCTCTATCACTACAAATGTTCTTTACAATGTGCTGACTATTAGGATGTAGGGCATCAGAAGTAATGTAGTGATTATTTTGGGAGAACATGGCATGTAAAGAGAAGTCAGAATTAGATTTTAGGTTTGGTATATTGTAAATATAATCATTCAGATGTGAAGGCAATTTATGCTCCCTATGGGACCTTCTGGAAACTAGTGGTCCTTCTAGAGACTGTTAGGGGACACTAGTATCCTGAAAATGTTCTACTGGAAGTTGTGTTTCATACGAGGAAGAAATAGGTGAAGAAGAGTTTGGTAATG